CTTACACATACACTTTTTGCACCAAGCATATTTCAAACTCCCATATCACATGGCTTTATTGCACATAAATTATTTCCAACTATAATATCAAATACAGTAACACCAAATACTTTCTTTCATTTTCATAAACTCAAAAACATTTATCTGCATTCCAGAATCTCATCTAATTACAGTTTAATTATCTAGTTATAGAATCTCATCTAATTACAGTTCATTCATCGCATTAACAATTACTAAAAATTCAAACTATCATTTCTTTCCACCAATGCTTATTTCAACCACAACTGATGCACCAAATTAAACTTGTTTCACAAAAACACATAATATATACATTTATGTTATAGTGCATTGCAATTACATTATACTTGCATCTTTTAAGAAATCTTTATGCATATACCATCCTCACTAACACAAGTGCATATTTTGAGTGTAAATGTTTCTGCTATCATACAATAATGCATAACAATGCATAATTTGAGTGTAGATGCAACTTCTGCATCTTCACTTGAATACTAATGCATAAAACATTCTTCTTAAATTCCAAGTTCAATAAGCATAACAAATGCATCTTACAACTATTACACATGCATCTTAAAACAATTACTATTGCATCTTACATCTTAAACTATGGCATCTTAAATTAGTTTCACATTCCAGTTGCAATTACCGAACTCCCTGCATCATACAACTAGAACTCTTGCATGAAGCCTTTCACTGTATATCTAATTTATCTACATTGCTCATTTTCAATCATGTTGCACCTAACTTCATTCACAGCAGCATGTAAAAGCAAACCTTCTCCGTCTAACTTCTTATTAAATGAAAATCATGCACTATGTTACTAAAATACCTACACAAAACACTGGACAAAATTCATCTGACAAAGTGTTGCATGTCGTATGCAAAAAACTTGCATCAAATAACCATCACATACATTAATCTGACATTATGCATACAAATTTTATCAATAACAGAGTTTTACACCTATATCCAAATCTAAATTTCAATTCAAACTTTTAATCAGCCATTATTCATTACACATTTGCCAGTACTATGTAGTTAAATACTCGAATAACACATGCAACCATATTGAACACACCAAGGAGTAAAACGAGTACCTTCTCCTTGAAGCTCATTTTCTATTTCACGCAACAGGTGTTCCATTTGTAGCAAAACCATAGCCTTCTATCTATCGTCACTCGCCTTGCCTTCGCTAAACTCGGATTAGGTGCAAATGTTCACCGAATTCCTTGCTTCATGCTCTAAAATTGATGATACTCTGCACCAGAAGAAGAAGAAGAAGTGTTTGCTGATCGTGGATTGTAATAGTCAAAACAGGGTTTGCAAAACTTAATGGCAACATGATTTTCGCGGCTTCTTTATTTTTTGTTAAATAACTTCTTTAACCCTGAAAATTCAATGCGCGTTCATAAGTTTGTTTAGGCTTTTAATTCTCTGCGTGTGAGTGCATAGATTTAATGATGCAGCCCAATCTGGAACTGTCTGTTTCCTGCAATCCAACGGCTGACATGAGTTTATAGGTTTGCACCGAAAGCATGGTTTGCATGAGATCTTCCCCCTATATATATAGGAGTTTTGGTTCAATTAAGAACATGATCTTAGGAGAGAAATGAGAATGAATCTGGACAGTTAGATTGCTTGAAGTGCAATTCAATGTGCATAAGATGAAACTATAATGTGCATTAGGTGAAATTGAAATGTGCAGCACAAAAGGTACGATACAGTGACATTAAGTGAAGCTGAATTGTGCTTTAGGTGAAATTGAAATGTGCACTATGTGAAACTGAAATCTGCATAATAAAAGGTACGATATGATGTTATATTTGTACCTTTTATTCCGCACATTTCAGTTTCATCTAATGCACACTTGAATTTAAATTTTTTTTTCTACAGATTTCAATATCATCTTATGCACATTTCAGTTTCACTGAATGCACAATCCAATTCCACATAATACAATCCAACGGTCTAGATTCATTCTCATTTCTCTCCTGGGAGTTCGTTCTTACCGGAACCGCTCCCTATATATGTACATATGTGTGTGTGTGTATAATTGACTTTTGAGACCACTACAATTTCTATGCAGGTGACTTTATGGAATCTAGATGCATTTGTGTTCTCCAAATCTAATAGAAAATGAAACAAAAAATGATCTAGTCTTACAAAAGATGTGTGAACCTTTACAAGTCTTCGTTGGATGAACCACGTGCTCTAATGAGCAATGTCGTTAGATGATCGCTTCGTTGGATGAAGCCAACAAATGTCTCTGATTAAGATCACTCACTAGTTTTTTGGTGTCCTTGGTTAAATTTACATCTATTTTAGCTTTTATCAGTTTTGAAGACAAGTTTACTCGTTATAATTTTTTGGGGATTTTACAAGAATATTACTAAAATAAAACTTACTTACATAAATATGACTATTCATTACTACAATGTAGTGTTGTGGTAACTTAAGTTCAAAACTTGAACATGAATTACTATGATTTCGTTACTACTATAGTAACTAGTCATACTTTTGTAAATCATCTTTATTTTGATCATATTTGTGTAATTATTTCTATTTGTTTTGTTTTGAAATGATGGTTTCTTTATTTTATTGATACATTGTATCTTCATTCTTAAATATATTTATTTTAGAGTAAACTTAGTCATTGCAACCAAATTTTAATAATTAGGGTGTATTAGTAAATACATGATTGACTTTTGAGACCACTACAACTTCTATGTAGGTGATTTTATGGAATCTAGATACATTTGCATTCCCCGAATCCAATACACAATGAAACAAAAAATGATCTAGTCCTAGAAAGGATGTGTGAACCTTACAAGTCCTCTCGATGATCCACTTTATCGCTCTTGTCAACCTCATAATGTCTGAGTGGGTGCCCACCCATGTTTTGATCTCCCTCCACATATGTTTTGATCTCAAATAAATTGTCATTACCAACGGTAATCTATACCACCAGATAATTATAGTTGGTATAGGATAATTATACCTATAATTAATCTTTTTTGTTGCTAATTACAATATAATTACTTACGATGTAGTAAGGTCATTCGTAAATGTTACGCATTTCCTACACTAAAAATGAATCAGTTGGTATAGCGATCCACTATACCAACACATATATATATAACTAAAATTGTAACTAAAAATTTGGCCAATCCTTCAAATTTTCCAGCTCAACCATCCAGCTATTTGCACTGTAAGATTGTAAAATTAGACCTAGGCATTCGATCCGTACCTTCTTTTTCCTGTTGACCCGTGATCGGGCTAAATTTGCAAGTATACAAGTGCCGATATAGTAACAATATACTGGTAAATACCGGGTCGATCCACAGGGAAATGGTTGATATTATAAAGTCGAGTATTGAATGCAAAGAATGTAAATGGTATAGTTTTTCAGGAACTTTGTTCTTTGAGGTTGATTTAAACAAGAATGAGAATTACTAAGGCAATCGGGATTCACCTAAATGCTTTAATAGTTATTTAATAATAGTTTTTCCCAAGAATCATGAATACGATGTCGCTAATATATTCTCAACTTCGGTTAAGGCAGCGAGAGCGTGGATTTCGTTACGTGTAAGTCCCGTTACGGCTTACATTCATCTACCGAAAACCCTGTTGAATATCAAGACATCACACCCGTATCATATAAGACCGGATATATTTCTATTCTCGGTACTATATATGTTTATCCTTTAATGTTCATAGTTTAGACTTCAACGTTAATTGCAAGCATAAACTAAATTTAACATACTTCTATGTTGTACACCATAGTCATAAACAATCAAAATAAAAAGGATAAATCACAATTTATTGGTTTAGAACTTTTATCAAACACCTAGTGTGCATAGAGGTTCATCCCTAGCCTCTTAGCTAAGAAATTAGCCTCTAATGCTCATATTAATCAACATACAATATTGAAATGTAATGGAACATGAAATTACAAAGGAAATAATACCTAAATACCAATGATTTCGGAGGTTGAAGTTTCCTCCTCAAGAACTTGAAGAAAAAGAGCAAGAACAAATTATAAAGACTAAGAATTAATCTATGGAATGGAATGTGTTTGCTTGATGAATTGGGGGCTTTATATAGGCTAAAGAATGGCATCTTTTAGTCTATTCAAGCCCAACAATCAGGTATGGAGCAATATTTGATCAAGAAATGAGGAAGATGAACTTTTCCCATAAAAAATCCTCTTGCACGTTGGCCTGTTTTGTGCAGAAATCGCCCAAACCGGCGCCGGTTATGTCCCGACCGGCGCCGGTTCAAAACAGGCTCATTTTGAGCGAAAAACACCTTCCGACCGGCGCCGGTTCTTTTCTGACCGGCGCCGGTTGTTGAGCCCAAAAATGCGCTTCCTTTCTCTTCTTCCGAAATGAATAAAAAAATGTCGGTTTTTGTCCCGAGATTTTGGGGATGTTCCGCTACGAATATGGACATGATTCCTTCAACAAAGTTGTAGATAATGAAGTATTCTATCTACCAAAACTTGAATGACGTGATTTTATTTATCCAATCAAAAGATATGAATAAAACACTGAGAGGTATGCATCCTGAAATCCCACCAGCAACATCTGACTTTGTTGGTTGATTGAGTCTTGTTCCTTTCATATTTTGGCCATGACGTCTTCATAACATTTGTACCTTATTGAGTTAGCATTCACATGAAACTCGAATCGAGTGATTTCGAGTTCTATAGAATAAGTTATACTCAAATTATGGGCAGAACGTCATTATCTTGGTCCAAAAAGTCCTTCATCGCAATGTTTTATGCTCTAGCTCTCATTCAGGAGGTATTTGCCCGATTTCTCTTCTTTTCTTCAACAAATACTTATAAATACTTATGTTAAACACAAGTAAATATAACGGCTATCAACCCGAAAATCCCCTCAACTTCATACTCTCTCCCCAAATCAAATGGCTTTATAAGCTCTCCCTTTCATAGAAACAAAGGTTGCATAGGAATTGGGAGAAATAATAGAGGAAGACGAGTTGCAGAAGAAAAGGGGATTGTCGTCCGTGGTGAACATGACGCGCTGCTGCTCAGCCTCTCATCTCCACCCATCGCACAAACCAAATCACTCTCAATTCCTCACATAAACAAATCACTCATCGGGCTCAAATCTCACCCCATCTTTTCATCGGTCTTTGATGGAAAATCCTCAGTCCAGAATTCCTTCGCTTTCATCAGAGTTATATTCCATCTTAATTCTGGCTGGATGTATCTTTATCAGTTCTGGTTTTTCAATGAGATCACAAAGTGTGCCGAAATTCGTTGATAGGGATTTCGTTCCTCTCTCTAGAACACGGTTACTGGAACACATTGAATGATAAGGTTTTTGTTCCTCTCATATTTTCTATTTCAATTGGTTGGCCATAGATTTTATGCTTGTATCTTTCTTTCATTTTTTCTCATCTTAATTGGACTCTATAATTGATTGGAGATAACAATTTCTGAATGATTTGGCTCAGAATTACATTTTAATTTCAATCGAGGTATGATTCTCATCTTTGCTCTTCGATTTCAGATTATATCTAGGGCAAAACATCCATTAGCCCTTTCTTGGGTAATTCACTCAAGGATGATAATTTATACTCTTCTCTCTATTTCAGTTTTAAGATTCAGCTTTTTATTTGTGCCTTTTCATTTAATTTGATTTATTACACATATTATTAATTCAACTTCTTTTCTTAATTTTATAGGTGATAATGTTATGCTTGGAAGATATTTTTTTCCACACCAACGCCACAGGGGTATGCTAATATTATCTTCAATTTTTCTCTTTAATTTATTTGCTCAAATTTTGCATCATTTTTTTAATTGTGTTTTACTGGGATGTTAATTATTCTTTTAAATGTGAATGAGATCCTCTGACATATAATGAGAGGTAGAAAAGCTGAATGAAAACATACAAATGGCTGATTTTTAGAATTTGTAGCAACTAGAAAATGTAGACTTCAAATTGATTGTGGTTATGTCATCTGTTTATTAGGATGCGTGAGAGAGACTTCATATTTTTAGAATCCAAAGATGGTTTTGACAGTGCCGTCATATACCGGCATTGAGAGGATGGTGACAATGAAAACATTTGGAGCTGATTTAATAGTTACAGACCCAACCAAGGGCATGGGTAAAGCAGTAAGGAAAGCTTACCAGCTTCTGGAGTCTACATCAGATGCTTTTATGCTTCAGTAGTTCTTTAATCCTGCAAATACTCAACTATGTATTTTATTGATCTCTCTTTCTCTATCACCCCCTTCTTGATTGTTCGATAGTAAAAGAAAAGAAAAGAAAAGTAGCTGCCGTTTCAATGAATGGGTTGCTGCTGGAATCCCAAATACATTTCGAGACAACTGGTACTGAAATATGGGTGGACACACAGGGTAATGTGGACATTTTTGTTATGGGCATTGGACAACACCTCAAATCCCAAACCCCTAATGTTAAGATGCTTATATCCTGCTTCATCCAACACTACAAAAGTCGACGCAAATACTTCATTTGCGTCGACAAGTGGACGCTTATGTGTTGACGCAAATACCGCGATGCAAAAAGATTATTCACGTCCATTTTTGTCGACGCAAATAAAATATTATCTTTTGCGTCGCCAGTGTCGACACAGAAAGGTCATGAGTACGAAAAAAATTAAAAAGCACCATTTACGTCAACATGTCGACACTAAAGGTGTTATTTTTCTAAAAAATAAATAAATAAAACCACAATATATTACTATTTCTAAATCAAACATTAACTATGATTATTACTACTAATATTTTGAAAGAATAGCACCATTAGAATATGCATTATTACAAATAAATAAAACCACAATATAACAATATATTACTATTTCTAAATCAAACATTAACAAAAATCAATACCTACATCTTAAAATATATCTTGAAAACAAAAATGCATAACAGTACACATATACATCACATAATATACAAGTTAAATTACTGTTTAATTGATCTTTGCATAGACCAACAACATATCGTATCCAGTAATCTTGAATGCCCCGTGTGACTATAATTCCTCCATAAAGTTATTATTTCATCAATTTGTTGTGAACTTTGAGCATTCATCCGGCCTGAAACTCTCAAATAAAACAAAAAATACCAACTTTAAAATGTATCACTACTTTATTATAACTTAGTAATAACAAGAAATCTGAAACAAAAATGTATTATCTAAGTATCACTACATTATTATATTGTGTCTACGGAAAGGGTTATATGATGTTTAGGAAATCAACATACCAACTACAAATTTGAAAGAAATCTTAAATGGTTATTTTCAGAATCCCATAAATAGTACAAATTTCAAATAATAAAAATCAAAATTAAAGGGTTACTTACTGTGCAAATTTGTTGTAGTGCAATCACATTCCTTTGATCGGTTCAGCTGGATAGGTGCTCTCAGATTTATATACTTATCAATCTATGGCCTTTTGAAAAACAGATATATATAGAATGGAGCCGCATTTTATTACTGCATAGGCACCTATACACTTGCAAGTTCTAGCCGATCACCACCTTTCCATATTTGCACCCCCACCCCCAAAGAAAGATTCTATGGAGTCACAATCTTTTTCCAACACGTACTATTTGAGACATGGGAAAAGCTTGGAGCCAAATGGATGAGCTCAATATGACTCGCACGAGAGATGGTTTGACTATTGTGTGCATGGATTAATATAATCAACGGCCGCATCCAAGAAGGGAGCATACCAAGCCGCCAAAATCTAAAGAAGTCCAAGGAGATCAATATCAAGGTACTTAACTTAGAAGGACCTAAGGGCTAAGGCCATATCATACTCAACAAGGTCCAGGATGTTGGTAAGGCCCAAAGGAAGGACATCAGACTTGTATAAACTCATCAATACCATCAATAAAGATATTGACATGAGATCTCCCATAATAGATAGCATAAGGTACTCCGCATAAGCAAGATGAGTGATGCTCAAAGAATCGTGTAGGTGATAAAAGTTAAATTTGGAATCCTTGGTCTTACGCTTCATGAACCTATAAAAGTACTCAAGATAAATGACAAAGAAAATTTGACATGGTGTCCCCTTATCAAAGCCCCTTCTTATCCATGAGAAAATTAAACAATGCCCTTTTACTAACATGAAAAAAGTACTGGTAACACACTACATGATCCATGCCACAAATAATGGGGAAATGCCCATAGTGTGAAACACGCTGCCAAGAAAGTATCTGTTAGAACCGGGGGTGTTAAATAATAAATATAAGGGTATGAAATATGGATAGGGACCGTATATCACTTCTAGCCACGTATAAATACACTTTCCTAAAAGTTTACTATCTACCCTTATTACAGTAACCAGGTTACAAGATAAAACTTTTGTGATAAAAAGAAGGTGTACAATGTATTTTGGTTACTCACCGAATAACACTAAACAAGTTATATGTATCTAAAGTAGTCTAAATATTAATCACTATTACTGCAGATAATAGGATAAATATAGCAAGAGAATAATTATTAAAGTTCGTCTTTAAACTTCACGTTCAACATATATTTATAGACAGCCACACACATGTTGTCTCACATCATCAATTTCATATGAAACAATGCAACTTTATGAAAAGTCATGATGGTTAAAAATTGGCGGCATTATCCTTCCCCAATTTTGAAATCAAAATAATATTTGATTATCATTTAATCATGTACGTAGGAAGTTACTATGAAAAAGCATGACTTTTGCCAATTTATTTTTTAAACAAAATTGACACACGTACATGCATCACCATCCACTCATGATGTGTAATTTTAATTATTATTATTAGTACATCAATAATTAATTTAACTAATAAGAAAAGTAATTTACATGTCTAATAATCTAATAACTAAACTTTAGTTTTATCCTTAATAATATTATTTTAATTATATTCAACAACACCTAATCAAAATAATATTATTAAGGATCATGTTGAACACTTGAGTCATATTTCTCAATAAATTCCAACGGTATCATAGGCCTTACAAAGGTCTGTTTAGATCATTCATCGAGAATATATCATTTTCCTAGTACATGTACCCTCAACAAGCTTCTGAGCAATGAAGATATCATCAAACATGAGGGTCTCTTAATAATAGAGGCTCACTGTGCCGAGTAAATTAAACAAGACTAGGGAAGCAAGGGCGCATGCGGCATGCCTACAAATAAAGATCTTCGTGATGATCTTGTAGAAGGCATTAGTGCACGAGGTATGCTTGAAATTTGAGAGTTTAGGTGAGTAGGTGATTTCAGGACAAGAGAATCAACATAATGGTTAATTTTCTTAAGGATCCTTCTTGAATAAATAAATAAATAAATAAAGACTAATATATGACTAAAAGAGTTTCTGCCACTTTTAGTCCTTGAACTATCATGTCACTAACATTTCAAATTTGATATTCGACTTTGATTTTTTTTTTTTCATTTTTAGTCTTCAACTATTGTGCTAGACACATTTTTGGTACCGTCTTTGATAATTTCCATATTTAGTTCTTCAACTTTCATAAAAGTGACATTTTTGGTCCTTCAACTATTATAGTAGTGATATATTTAATTTAGTCCTTCATTTATTGTGTCAAAATCATAGTGGAAGGACTAAAAGTGTCAATTGAATATTACTCAGGGGACCAAATGTGAGAAACTTTGAAGTTGAGGATTAAAGGTGTGTTATAGCTAGCACAATAGTCAAGGACTAAAATGGAAAAATTAATAGTCGAGTATCAAAAGTATTACTGACACAATAGTCGGGGGATCAAAAGTGACAAAAACTCTGACTAAAATAAGGCCGATAATGGATAAAATATACCTTTCTCTATATAGTAGCCATATAGTAACTCTCAATGACTATTATAATATTCAAGGTAATACTATCAAATAAGTCCTCTTACTATTGCATAAAATTCAATTGAGTCCTCATACTTTCAAATTAGCTAATCAAATTCTCCAGCTACAAAAACATCCAATTTCATTTTTCAGCTACAACCATCTTACACTAATTTTTCTTTTTTGGAAGCATGTGACATATGCTCACATTCACCCCCTTATATTATGACGGATGAGAGCTCCTTGGGCGACAGAAGGGAGATTCCGACCAACAAACCTCTTCAACGGATTGGCGACCGTTTTTGGACGAGACATCTCGAGGCAAGGAGATCGGTCGACGAACTTAACTCTCAAGATTGGGGCTTCCACGGTCGTGATAGGGATTCACTGATGGCTAAATTTCTGGATCTCTTATTCGCGTCCAAGAATCGTCATGCAAAGAGGCTTTCAGATGACCGATGGTCTCCTAGATGGGAGCAAGCAATGATCAAGCTTCCATTGCAGAGCATAGAGCGAATTCCATCCGATGCAACGATCCCAAATGCTAAAATACAAAGAAAGCGAATCCTCAAGTTTTAGATTTCAGGGATTTGTCAGTTGTGAAAATGTAGGGTGGCAGCTGAATCATGGGTCTTCTTCTTTGTTCATTAGGTTGAAGCTAAACCATGGTCTTCATTGCCATTATTTGTGCTCGTTGACTTAGAAAAGGCATACAATATGGTACCTCGAGAAGCCCTTTGGTGGGTCTTAATTAGAAAAGTCATGTCACGTAAATATATCAGCACCATCATGGATATCGATGAGCATTGTACTACAAGCTAAGTATTCGTACTAGTGTAGGAAGGACTGCAAAGTTCCCTATTACTATCAGAGTGCACAAAGAATCAGCTCTGAGTCCTTTCTTATTTTCTATAGTCAAGGATGAACTTACAAAGTTAATTCAAGAAGATAAACTGTGGTGCATGATGTTTTCCGATGATATTGTATTGATTGATCAAACGTAATCAGGTGTTGGAAGTACATCGATGAACATTGGAGAAAAAAGGTTTTAGATTGATTTGAAGTAAGACTGGGTACATGGAGTGGAAGTTTGGTGGAGGTAGAAGTAGTGGTAACAATGGAATTACTCTATATAGTAAGGAGGTACATGTGAGTGATATATTACATTACTTGGGATCCATAATTCAGAAGGACAGTGAATTTGATGAAGATGTATTCCACAGAACCAAAACATGGTTGATGAAATGGAAGAGTGAGTCAGGATTTCTATGTGAACAATGTATGTCGATTAGAATGGAGGCTAAATTTTATCTGACAACGATCAAGCTTGCATTGTTGTATGACATAGAGTGTTAGGCATGAAACAATGTCACATTTAAAAGATGGGGGTGATAAAGATGTACATGTTGTGTTGAATGTGTGGACATACAAGAAAAGATTGCTTGAGGAATGAAACAATCAGGAAA